CTACGGCGGACACTACGGGCCCGAGTTCTCCGAGTACTTTGACATTCAGAACAACTTGATCGCGTCCGGCAAGCTTTCGGGCGTGCAGATCCACCTTGGGGCTCTTATGATCAACAAGTGCGCTCTTTTTTTGGCGCAAAATGGATGAATGTTGACGGAAACGCGAATGCAGCGGCTGGATCGACCCGCTCATCCAGAACCTGGCGTACGTCACCTTTGCGCAGAACGCGCCAGGTTATGGCGCCCTCCAGAGTGCGGCGACGATAAAAAAGATGAACACCACATACTACGAGTCGAACGGATGCCTCGCACAACAGCAGGCTTGCTACGCCGCCGGCAACTCGAGCACGTCCAGCAGCGTCTGCGAGAAGGCCGATAACTTCTGTGTACGTCCCTCGTGTCCCCACCCCGGCCAGTCTGGCCAGTCTTGCTAACATAGCACCACCCCGCACAGGCAACACTCTTGGACGACGCCATCGGCAACCTCGACCCGTACGACCTGCGCCAGACCTCCGCCGCGCTCTTCCCGCCGGAGTACTACGTTAACTACCTCGCGCTGTCCTCCGTCACCAAGGCCATCGGCGCCACCTCCTCCACGTACTCCGAGTGCCCGGACGCGCCGTACGAACTCTTCGAGAAGACCGGCGACGACGCGCGCACGCTCCTCCCACAACTCGGTAACGTCGTCGACACGGGCATCCGCGTCCTCATCTGGCACGGCGACGCCGACATCATCTGCAACTGGCTCGGTGGCCAGGCGGCCGTGCTCGCGATGGACTGGAGCGGGTCGGCGGAACTGAAGGCGACCCCATTGACAAACATCACGTTGGACGGGACAGCGATTGCGGCCGTCGCGAATGTGAACAACTTCACGTTTGCGCGCGTGTATGCCGCTGGACATGAGATCGTGAGTAGTCGGATGTTTTTCCATAGTGATTCAACACGCTCATGTTTTTGTTTAGCCTGCGTTCCAGCCCGCGGCGGCGCTAGCTATCTTCGAGCAGATCATTGCAGGGGAGCCGCTGCACTCTGTTTGAGCGTGCTTTTTCTGAGTTGGAATGAGCTCAGGCTATTGTTGTAAAACTTACATTGTATAGAACAATGCGAATCAAAGTGGTTCAAAAACAAGTTTTGACGTCTTGAATTCCAAGTAGAACTTGAAATTCCCTCAGAGTCAAAACGGACGAGTCGCGCCCCCCAGCTCGGTTACAGAATCGAAGTTGAGTGCGTTCGTGGTTAGGCAGGCTTCAGACAGACACCCGTAATTTTATAAAGAGGAAGATATTCCACTGACTGGTTGAACGTCGAACCTTTCCCAGATCCAGGGGATGATCCCGAGTTGGTCAGATAACTCATGAATCAAATTCCGGGCCCTGAAGCAGGGTCATCAGCTAACGTGTCATCAGCTAACGTTGAACCTAGGTGCATTTGAACAAAGCACACAATCAATGTTCGGAGGGGGGGAGGGTCGCGAAAGATGGCAAGGAGGCGTCGTCCTCGTCCTCGTCAAATTGTCTCATTCCCAGGTGCAGCTCTTCGAGGTTGTCTAGTCTGCATTTAGCCAGTCGGCTGACCAACGAAACCATATGAACCATACAAAATCGAGAACAAGCGCCAGTGCACATCACCTCGGTCACAACACACACACCCTCGACGACTCGTCAGTGTTCAATAAATCCTTTACGGGACATACTTCAGATGCTCCATCTTCATCCTCAACTCTTGCCGCACAGCAATCCACGGACACCTTTCCGTAATCGCATCCTGCAACCTCTTCGAAACCAGCGGCTGCCTCTGTCCCCTCGCCGTCAGGGGCTGCGTGTCCATGTCGGCGGAGATCAACACATCTTGCAGCGCCGGGAAGAGCGCGAGCCACGCCGGGAACGCAGTGTGCCCCGCCTCGCGCGTCCACCGGACGAGCTCGAGTTTCTGGATGGAGTTGAGCGTCTCCGCCCTCGTATTTTTCTCCTCCGCGGAATGGAAATCTGCCCATGGCAGAGCGATACTCTGGAGGTGCAGCACCAACGTCATGACGGAGGGCCGTGCCGCGAGGGCGCGCAGCGCATCCTGTACGCAGGCTGCGCCATTGCTATCACCATCGGTTTTTGGTCGGTTTTTGGCTTTATCTTTGTCTGCGGGCAGTATTGGCTCCCGCGACCCGATCCCAACATACTCCAACAGCGGAAACTCGTTCGCAATCTGCAATATGCCCGCCACAACGCGCGCACTCGCTGTAATGTGTTTGAGATACAGCAGAGTCGAGGTGGAGAACGGTTTCAGGGTTGAATTCCGGGTGTCGTCGTGAAGACAACTCCAATCGCGCGGAAAGTCAAGGAACTCGATTTTATCGTGCTTCTCGATGAATGCAGAGAGATGGCTGTGATTTTGATGGTTGAATTCGAAATCAACGCGGATAATCAGCGCGCGCAGAGAAGGCAGGTGCAGCTCCCCCATGAGAAACTCCCACTCCGCACGTGAAAGGACGCGGTCGTCGATATCCAGGTAAGATATCGCCGAAGAATTCAGAACCATCAGTACACCGAGCGGCGCGGGCGGATCAGTATTGAACGAGCGAAGGGAGATGGTGGAGAGCAACCGCCGGGTAGACGCCGTCGCAATTGTAGAAAACAGTTTGCGCGTCAGTTTCATTTTGTCCACTACGGGGACCGCCAGCGCTGACGGACGTGTGGGCGTTTTTAATGCGCGTTTCAAGAGGTTCGGCACCTTGGGGTGGAGTGCGGTAACGCCGAGGTAGTGGATTATGACCACCGGACGCGCGTGGCTTTTACCCATCAGGGCAATAAGAGTGGTCGGGAGCATGTTCCAGAGCCCGGAAAATCGCTCCGACGCCGAGGAGCGGTCTGAGAAAGCGAAAGAGATGCGAGGGATAATGGGGAAGCACTCGGCGAGGTGGATGAGGGACCGCCACGGATGCAGGTGATCGACGTCTCCATTAGTGAAGTCGAAGTCCAAGCGGCGGATATTTGGGAGGATTGTCGGATAGGACGCGCACAACGAGTGGATTGCGCGCGAGGAGATTTTAGAAAGCTCCTGGGAGTGGATTTGCGATTCCGATACACCGTATCGCGCGAGGAGGGTGAGGAGAGCAAGCTGCTGCGAGCCGGAACTTACTTCACAGAATCTGAGAAGTTCTGGTTCAGGAAGACAGTCGAGGATAGAGAGAATGAGCTCCCGTGGCAGTTGGAGCAGCGAAAGGTCGCTTTCATGGTCAGAACGAGGCCTGGCAAGTGCGTCCGGATCCTAGGCAACCTTAGGTCACTAATGACAACGAAAGTCGCCAAACTCACCATTGGGGCTCCCACTCGTCCCGGAAATTGACCGGTTGTGGTAGTGTGTGCAGAAGATGGTTTGTTCACGTGATACGACATATATGTCTTGTAACGGGGATGGTCACCCACGCCTCCAGAACAAGGAAACAGCATGGGATTGAGACGTGGGCAACGCCGCTACTGGCGTTGCAAGACAAGGAGCAGTGTCTACGTGGTGCTTAAATACCAGTCCATTATCTATTAATATATTAACCCGGATCACCACGAATATCCCAGTTGAGAACCAGCGCCGTGACATTTCTGTCTCCTCGCTAATTTTAGACTCATCCAAATTACTCAAGTCCGCACTCGGATCAAATCGGCATGTTTAAATTCAACTTATGGGTCTCCCATGCACTCTGAATTACGTTAAACCAGTACACTTGGCTACATTAATGGTTCCGGGAGGAAGGCAAGGTACTTACTCCATGGGGGTTAACATCTCGCAGTTGAAACCAAGGTTGAGAAGATTTTCGTTTGAAGTGGAAAATTGAAAAAAAAAAAAACCATAACAAAGACGAGAACCGCAAGGCTTCGGGAGGATCCGAACCTACAATGTGCTAGGTTGAGGTGATCTGCCACGATCTAGGAAGCATTCCTTTCACGCATTAGTATTGAATGAGTGCTTGATATTGCATGGAGCAAGGGCCTGGCAGAGACGAGAGATGGTGTGTGCACTAGGGAGGAGTACGACGGATTAGAAGTGTTCTCGTTCGCAGTGCAAGATCGGCAAAAAAAACTTGTGACTTCCTCCGGGAGGAATCGAACCTCCACCTCCCCACAAATCTCTCACGCTTGTGCATCAGGTTGAGACGATCGCCCACGATCCACGAAGGCTTGGCGTTTATAGTACAGTGTTGAATAACTGCTGTCTTTCAAGAATACCTTTTCTCGCTGAACCGACCCTGTAGATTCAGATATATGTATACAATACAGGTTCCTAGAGCCGAAGTCGACAAGAACATCGGAGTACACGATATGGAGAGTGGTACATATACTGTGTACCTATAAATTTGAGTGGCTTTTCTGTTCTAGGTGACACATGGGGAAAAAAGATATTGACGAGGCATCATGCCTTCGGGAGGATTCGAACCTCCATCTCCCCACAAATTCGACTTGAAAAGAGCAATAGTCTGTTGAGGCAATCTACGACGATCTACAAAGGCTTGATGCTAAGAGTTCAGTGTTGAAAAAGTGCTTGATATTGCATGCAGCAAGGCCCTGACAGAGACGAGCATGCACTAGCTTGAGGTGCTGGCAAAGTTGAAAAGAAGATCAGCGTACACGACGCCTGCGAGGAGTACGGCGGATCAAAAATGTTCTTGTTCGCAGAGCAAGATCGGAAAAAAAAAAACTTAGCTCCAGAACAATGAAGCCTTCGGGAGGATTCGAACCTCCATCTCCCCACAAATTCGACTTGAAGCATTAATCTGTGACGGCGATCTACGAAGGCTTGGTGCTAAGGGTTCAGTGTTAATTAAAAAATTGCTTGATATTGCATGCAGCAAGGGCCTGACAGAGACGAGCATGCACTAGCTTGAGGTGCTAGCAAAGTTGAAAAGAAGATCAGCATAGTACACGATGCCTGCGAGGAGTACGGCGCCGGATTAAAAATGCTCTTGTTCGCAGCGCAAGATCGGAAAAAAAAACTCAGCTCCAGAATGGCAATTAAGCCTTCGGGAGGATTCGAACCTCCACCTCCCCATAAATTCGACTTGAAACGCGTATTAGTCTGTTGAGGCGATCTACGATGATCTACAAAGGCTTGGTGTTAGTAGTTCAGTATTGGATAACTGCTGTCTTTCAAGAATACCTTTTCCTCGCCGACGCGGCCCTGTAGATATAGGTTCAACCCAAGGCCGAAGGCGACGAGAACATCGGCGTGCACGATATTGGAGAGCAGTATGTACGCTGTGTAGCTACGTATAGATTAGATTGGCGTTTTTGTTCTAGGTGCAAAACCGGGGGAAAAAAATTCACTCAAGAACAGTTAAGCCTTCGGGAGGATTCGAACCTCCACCTCCCCACAAATCCGAATTGCACGCATCAGGTTAAGGCGATCTCCCACGATCCACAAAGGCTTGGTGTTAATAGTTCAATTCAGTGTCTAATAACGTTGCTACTGTCTTTCGAGAGTACTTTCTTGTCGATGCGACGCTGCAGATATATGTATACAATACAGGTGTCAGGTTCCCAGGACCTAAGGCGACAAAAGAACATCGGTGTGCACGACATTGGAGAGCAGTATGTACGCTGTGTAGCTAAGTATAGATTAGAATGGCTTTGAATTTTTTGTTCTAGGTGCAAAGTCAAAAGAAGAAGAAAAAGCACATGAGAGCGAACAACTTGAACCCTTCGGGAGGATTCGAACCTCCAACTCCCCGCAAATTTTCCAGGCCGTGTTAATGAGGCTGAGGCGATCTCCACGATCCGCGAAGGCTTCCCGTAGACTGGGAGGTGTTCTGCATACATGGCAGTTTGTGCGTCCGAGGCCATGGCGTTCCGCATCGAAAATTTAATTAAATCGAGATCAATATTGACACTCATTTCACCGGCTGCAGTCGGGGGCGAAATTTCACAGTCAATGTGATTACTGACGGGAATTCCCGCTTTTCTGCGAGTCTGGTTCAACATATATATATTATTAGCTACGTATCTTTTGAGATCCGCTCGTTTCACACCGAGCACATGGACTATCTGAAAACACAGAAATTTGAATCTCAAAAATCCGGGCTATCACCGAGCTCATATTGAACAGCTGTTGAACGTTGAACCTCGCGCGCCCAATCGCTTCAAGGTCCGGTCTTGCGAATGAAATTTCTTGCCTGCGTTGAACAATTTGAAAGAGCTCGAATGTCATTTTTCGACGCCGTTTTCTGCTGTCTGCTGCTCGAACCATCCAGCTTTCTGTGTGGCGCCTTCCTGCTCGATGATTACCCGGAATCTAGAACATCAATTTTGATGATATTGAATATACGTGCTTGGTCATTGCGTGGTCCGAGGTCTTGTGACCGCGGCTGTGGGTACTTTACTGTACTTTGAGATCAGGACCCTTGCCTCTTCTTCGCTCATGCCGCCAGTGACGACAGCGGAGACGCAAGAGGCATCGGCGGCTGCCCTCCTCAAGGACCGTCGCTTTAAACTGAGCAGGTGCGTCCTCGATCGACTTTTCTCAATCCAACTGCTTACTCATTCGCGCGCAGAGCCTGCGACCGGTGTCGGTAAGCCACTAATTTATTGTCACATTTCGGTTAATGAACGCGGGCGCGCACGAAGACGACGGCGAATCAAGTGCGACGAGGGCCACCCGTGCCAGGCGTGTCTCGCCGCCAGTTCCGCCTGCACTTTTGAAGAGCCGGGCAAGCGCACCCACCCGCACAAGTCCAAGCGCACCGCGACGCTCGAGGACCGCATGCACCACCTCGAGACCCTCATCCAGGCCATCCCACCGGCGGTCTTCGCCGCGGGCAGCGCGGGCGACCTTCCGGGGTCGCCGTCTATGTCGGTGGGCGGGGACGGCATCATGCCCGCGAGCCCCATTACCCCGTTTATGTTCCCGACATTCCCGTCTGGCGTGCCCCCGCCCTCGCTGCACGTCTTCCCGCTCACGAATCCCTCGGGCCATTTCACGCCGATGGACATCAAGCAGCACGAAAATGGGAGTCCGGTACTGGCGCACGCGGGTGCAGATGCGCCCAGTCCCGAACAGCTTGCAGAGGATACGTCGCGGCTGTCTCTGTCGGCGTCGTACCTGTACTTTGACGACGAGGGCTACACGCGATGGCAAGGCGAAGCTTCGGGCTTGCCGCTCCTTGATTTGCTTGTCGAAAGACATGTACCAAGCTCGGACTCTGCTCCCCCAAACGTGGCTCCCGTCGAACAAGACTGGTTCCCCAACCGCACACTACGGCGGACAGACGTTAACCCGCAGACCCTCTGGCGCCTCATCACCTCCTACATCGCCCCCGAATTAATGGACAGGTGCGCCGCATAGTGCAGAGTCGAGTATCATTCCAATTAATCTGATTGCATCTAGCCTCGTCCAGTGCTACCTCTCCACCTCGTACTATATCCTTCCCTTCCTTCATGTTCCCACATTTCTTGCCGTATGTTGGCTGTACTTGCCGCGCTCAACGCCCGCTGATTTTTATCCCCTCAGGACTACGGCAACCCACAAAAATGGGGCGAGCCCGGCTTTGCCGCCTTCATTGTGTCGATATGCTGCCTCGCATCACGACACATGGACGACCCCCGCGTGCGCGCATCTCCGCAAGACGGGATATCCGCCGGCACGCAGTGGTTCGAGCTCCTCGGCCGCCTTCGCACCCTGCCTATCGCAGACCGCCCCACACTATACACGGTCCAAGCCGACCTCATCGCCGCAGTCTACGCCGTCGGCCTCGGCAAGCTCTCCAAAGCCGCCGCCCTCCTCTCCGAAGCCATCACCATCTCCATCGACGCGGGCCTGCACCGCAGCGCCGACACGTACGACCTCTTCGACCCCGTCGAGGACGAGGTGCGCAAGCGCACGTTCTGGTGCGTGTACCTCTGGGACAAGCAGCTCAGCGCGCACTTTGGGCGCCCGCCGATGCTGCGCCTGCGCGACTGCGACGTGAGCGAGCCCGCGCCGGTCGACGACGAGTACATCACGCGCGAGGGCGTCGGCGCGCCGGTGCTCCCCCCGGGCACGGCGTGCCGCATGGCCGCGTTCGTCGTCGCGCTGCGCATCCTCGTCGTGCTCGAGAGCGTGCTCGACGTCCCCCCCGTGCGGAATCCCGGCCCCTCCCCGAGCTCGAATGCGTTCCTCATCCGCGCGGGGGCGCTGCTCGGCGGTGCGCGCCGCGTGCGCGAGCTGCGCGAGGAGGAGGCGCTGCTGGACGAGGTGCACCGCGGGGTGCCGCCGTTCTTTGCGCATAGCGCCGAGACGCTGGCGAGCGAGGACACGATTCGGCTCACGCAGGCGGTGCGGCTGCATTGCGCGGAGCAGTTTGTGCGGCTGCTGATTTATCGGCATCGGTTCTCGGAGCTCGTTGCGGAGCGGACGGCGCCGGCGGACCCGGCGATGCGCCCGCCGCAGACCGAGGTGGAGCGGGACGCGATGGTCAAGGCGCATTTCTCGGCCCTCCAAATCGTCGCGGCGCATTTGCTTATCGCGAAGAAGGGGCTCATGACCTATTGTATGTTCTTCCTTCTCCAAAGAACAGGACGACGAGCCTAACTATACGCTACGCAGATGGGGTGCATGTCATCCACCAGCTGACGCAGGCGGGACGCACCCTCGTTGCCGTGCTTTTGAATTGCAACTCAGAAGCGCTGCAACCGCTCATCCCGCCCGGGCTCGACGCGCTGCGCTCCTGTGTGGGGCTTCTGCGGCGGTTCAGTGGCCGCTACGTGTGTGGCTTGAGATCCGGGGATCTGATGGAGGAGTTTTGTCGATGTATGTTCCGTTTCCCTTTACTACTGCTGCTACTTGCTTCGATCTCATCTATCGTGAAGTGACACAAATACCCCTGGACGCGCCGCGGGAGACGCCGGAGACGAACACGAACGCACGGCCGCCGTGGATACGGCCCGTGCGCAAGAAGAGCGTCGCGGCCAGCGCGTCGGCGTCTGCGGCGCGGCGGTCGAAGAGCGCGGGGGCGGAGGACAACCTGTCGCAGAACAGCGGGAACAGCGGGAGCAGCCCCGAGGCGTTCTCGCCGTCGGACTTTTTGCAGCAGCGCGCGACGCCGGAGTATGCGCAGGGGTTTCCGGAGATGGACGGGATGGGGATTGGGATGGCGGGGGGCGGGGGCGAGGGGGAGAACGGCGGGGACGCGCGGATGTTTGCGGAGGTGCTGGCGATGTTCAACGACGGGTCGCCGGATGCGGGGGCGCATTTGTTTTCGCCGACGGGCGAGTACACTGTGCAGGGCCATGGGCATGGGGTGGACGGGGGCGCGTTCAATGGGGCGAGCCCGTCGATGTTCAAGCTCGGCGTCACGTCGCCCTAGTCTGATCTTGTTCTGTGTCGCATGTGGACCTCTTGTCCTACTGTTATTGCTGTCTGTCTGTCCATGTACTTACACATATGTAGCGCACTATTCTATCCTTTCGCTCGTTTCCTTATATCCGCCGCCGCTGTGTATTTTACCTTATCCGTATACTGCTGTTGACTTGACCCCGGACGGCGCTACGGGCGCACAAGCCAATTGCCTGTTCGAGCTCGGGTTTCCGTTTTGGGCAAGAACAAAGAACTCCGCACGTGGGTTTTACTTTACCTCCCGCCGAATCAATCGCGTTTGACTTTTGATGCGAATACCTTGCTTCACCACGGGAGTCATGAAAGGTGAGAGAGTTCTCAGGGCCGTTGACTCGTTTTTGTTTCTTATAAGAAGACTGCTGCGAAGGCTCTGGACGTTGACGACCCCAATTGTAGTTTTCTCGCCGTTTCCCTCTTTACAGAGTTGTCTACTGGTGCCGAACACAATAAGCGCCACCGATCTGCCCATATCCGGAACACCGGTCATCATTCCCAATTGTTCGACGCCGCCTGCATGAGACAAAGAGAATGCCATGTACTTAACCACATCTGTCCGCCAAGTTCCCGCGTCGCCATGTATTCGTCCGCTCCAATAAACTCGCTCCCCGTCGAGCTGCTCGCATACATCTTCCATCTCGGGACTCATGAGCCTCTGCGGAATGACAACCGGGACCGGGACGACGACGACTGCCAGCCGTTCAACGCCGACAGCGTCAAGGCGCCGCTGGTGTACACAAGCGTCA